TTTTCTACATATTCGGATAGATTATTATTTTTTTGAGCATTTTTTGTATCAACAGTTTTTTTCTATTTTCAAAACTGACCAAGTTAGAGTAAGTCAAAATTTGGATTTATGCATAATTCGTATTTAATGAAATTTTATTTATAACCCCTGGAAATAATAAAATAAGTACCAAATAAATGTTTTATTTATATAAATAAAACAAGTGCTCTTTCAAACATACGCCTAACATACACGCTTAGCAAACGTTACGCTTATCGAGTATTATATTTATAAACTGTATGGAAAAGGTAATTTTTTAAAGTTTATAGGGCATTTTTGTGTGTTTTTTGATTCGTTTTTTTGTATATATTATAATRTAGGCATATAGGTACCTTTTTTATAAAAAATCTAAAAATGAAAATTTGAATAAACGCATTACTGAATAATATATGTGGATGAGCACATATATGTTAAGTATATTTATTTTATATGACGTCATAAACATTCTAAAATTAATAACGGTATACATATTATATGCAATTATAATTTATAATTTAGTGCGTGGAAAATGTTAAAATGACTGGCGACCATGTGGAAAAMGGAACACACGTTCACATGACAATGTCCGATGACATTGCGGAGTGTTTTCATAAGTCGTTACCTGATGACGAAATGAGGTTTTCAATGATGGCGAATTTCTTCAGCAGTAACGGCTTTAAAGGAGAGGTAAATATAAAATAGCCGAAAGAGGGTTAGGTTATACAATAACTCTCTAACTGACGAAAAAAGGTTTGGATTTTTATTTTTATTTTATCTTATAATATATTATTTGTACGATACTTGTTTGATATAATATATTATATAACGAGTGGTCRCGCAACAGAAATTTATTTTAATTTATAATGATCAAATATATATTCATTAAATTATATACAAATAAGGAACATTGATAACTCGAACGTCATTATAAGAGGGCGCAACACTCGTATTTGTTGTCCCAGTCTAACAACAAACACGTAAAATAGCAAATTTAAGTGAGTTGTGCATAACTCACTTAAAAACTGAATCATCGTAAAAATACTTCTAACAAAACACCAATGTCCAATGATGATCTTACCATTCTTCTCAATAAGTTTCATAATAGGTTTATTCACTTTAATTTTTAAGATAACGGAGTGAAACTCGAATTGCTGTTCGTAAATTTGCTATGTTACGCGTTTGTAAGACTGAGACAACAAAATACGGGTGTGACTTCCTCTTAAGTCGAATTGTTGTTACATCAAAGGAGTGTCTTACCCCTGTGTTTTTTTTAACTGGTATAGGTACCTATACAATTTTTTCCATACCTAGCTATCAAATTTTCAGTAATTCAATTTTTTTTTTTTGGTCTCCGAACGATTCGACTTTCTACTGTACTAGCTAGTAGCTGTACAAGTTTTTAAAATAAATTGTTAGGTATTTATAATAAATAAACATACTTAAATTGCAATCTTACCGTTTATCTATACTCTATAGGAACAACTTAATTTATTTTACACACATAATAATAATTGTAAGATAACCTTAATAATTTTAATGTAAATGTGAGTTTTAGGTTTTAAAAATTGTGTGTGAAGTAAGAAAAGGACCGCTAAGTTTCAGCACATGCATTAGAGAAGCATTAGCAAAGCATTTTGGAGATGATATAATTGGTAGAGTACATTAATATTGATCCTATTAATCATGACAAAAAGTATTAGGTACCACATTTCCTAGAAATATATACATTAAYATTATTATTACTGCGTATAGACTGTACTTAAAGTAAAACAGAGTTAGAATGACATAAAATTGCTTTATTATTTGTTACATGTGAAATAAATAAAGCGTTGGGCGGAGTAATACTCATCGAAAATGGAAAAGTGAAAATTCACGTCATTAAGCCGAGTTTGGCGAAAATACCAATAAAATCAGAGAAAGAGTTGGGCAATTGGTTACATTTTATTGAATTATCTCCACCGTCAGTGGGTGTCGGATGCATAGTCTCTCATGATCCTGTAATTTCAAACATTATTTTTTTGAGCATAAATATACCTTGTGCAGTTGTGCTAAATGTTTTTCTAAAATTTTTACCCTTTTTTTAGGGGCTGAATTTAAGACTTCAACACTTTCACCTGTACACTGATCGCAATGAAGGAGGACATTACCACAATGATACCGAACCGAACACCATAAAATATACTGGTTATTTTGGTGTTTCTAAGCAGTTTATTAAAATTGATTAAATTCAAACATTATATTATGCTGTAAT